TTGAGTACTTATTGATTCTGTTTTGAATGTAATTGATTTCATTGTAAGTTTGTATAATTTAATATTTAAGAAAGACTTAAACACAACAGACTTAAAAAAAAAAATCCTAAATCTGTGCATCTCTCTAGAGCCTATTCTAGTATAGCTCTGCTTGCAGCCTCCGAAAGTAACACTATTTAGGCACCACAGAGATCTTAAAATACTTTTGATCTATTCTTTATATTTTTTAATTAATGAAACATTTTAATTGTAGTAAAAATCAAAATAACTGCCACTTCAGCCATTGTTACGTGTAGTTTAGTAATATTAACTCACATTCACCATGCCATGAAACCAACAACATTAAAAATCTGTTTCCACCTTTCTTCATCACCCCAAACAGAAACTCTGCACCCAGTAAACAGTGATTTCCCATTCTCTTCCCCAGTACATGGCAACCACTTAATAAACTTCAGTCTTTGTATGTTTCCCTTATCTAGTATTTCATATACATGCTATCATACAATATTTGTGCTTTTGTGTCAGGTTTATTGTTTTCAACATACTATCTTCACGGCTCATCTGTTGTAGGACGTATCAGGACTTCATTTGTCTTTTGTTGTTAAGTACCGTGGAGTCATTTCTGACTCATAGTGACCCTGCACAGGGTTTCCGAAGCTGCGAATCTTTCTGGGAGCAGAAAGCATCATCTTTCTCCCACGGAACAGCTGGTAGTCTCGAACTGCCGACCTTTAGGTTAGCAGCCCGATTCGTAATGTAGTCTTGAATGGCTCAGAAGCAACTTCAGGGTCCTAAAACGTTCACCATATGTTCTTGCCATTGTCAAATTGGTTGTGATTCCTGCAGAACAGCTGGTAGTTTTGAACTGCCGACCTTGAGGTTAGAAGTCTGATTCATAACCACTATATTACCAGAGCGCCTTTGTCTTTACAACTGGGAAATTAATATCCCATTGTATATACATGTTGTTGCTAAGTGCCATCGAGTTGGTTCCGATTCAGAGTGACCTTGTATAGAGTTTACAAGGAGCAGCTGGCGGGTTTGAACTGCTAACCTTGTGGTACGCAGTCCAGTGCTGATCCTACAGCGCCACACCAGGGGTCTTGTATCTAAATACTGTTTTGTTTTTCCGTTGATGGGCATGTTTCCACCTTTTGGCTGTTGTGAAGCATGCTGCGGAGAACATTGCCCTACAGTGTATAGTTGAGTTTCTGCTTTCAAGTCTCAGGAATGGGTTTGCTGGGTCATATAATCTTATGTTTACCTTTTTGAGGAGCTGCCAACCTGTTTCCCACAGCAGCTGCCCCATTTTGGGTCCCCACCACTGGCATCTATCCTTTAGCAAGTATCAGTTGTGTGTGCCATTCGGTTGATTTCGACTCATAGCAGCCATGTGACAGAGGACAAAACATAGGGTTTTCTCAGCTATAGTATTTTTTTAGCCTGACTTTTCTTCTGTGGAGTTGTTGGGTGGATTTGAACTCCCAACCTTTCTGATAACAGCAAACTGTTTAATCGTTAACACCACCACTGCGCCTTTATCAAATAGTTAATGTTAGCGCTTTCATGCAAATCCATATTCAGGTACGACAGGCAGAGAATATGTGTTCTTATTTATTTAAAAGTGAAAACCACGTTGGATGAATGTTTCTCAGATGAGCGCTCAGTGCTCCAGACCTTGGGAACCTTTGAGAAAAGGTACTGTTTGTAACTTTCCATATCTGAGTCCTTGGAGTAGCCATGGCGACCTGCAGAGCCTCCCGCATCTAATAAGTACCAGATTCTGAGAGTGGTCTACTCTGACTTTTGGTTTTCTCCTTTGAGATTTGGTGACCTGAGGCATCTTCCTGTGCTTTTCTCAGGAGAAGAAGTAGTTTTCAGCGTGGTTCAGTGCTGGCTTTGGTATGGATGTCTCTTATGGAAAGGAATTTGACTCTGAGGATAACTCTTAGCAAAAATGAAACCACTGCATGCAGTTCTTTGTTGTAAGTAATGGCTGTGTAAATGAAAGGATATTTAGATAGTTTCAGATGTTGAAAGGGGCAGCCTTCCAAGCAACCCTATAGAAAGCATATGTGGTTGATTACATAAGCTAGTGTCTGGTCATGTTTTTGGAACCGGCTAGCCTGCATCAGAGGAGCAGAAACAAGATCCTACTGTGTGTGTGAGGGGAAGCGGGGGGAGGGGGGGGGAGTTGCCAAGTTTGCAATTCTGACGTTGTCATTTGCATCCAGCTGCCTGGGAGCCTATTACTGTCAATAATTTTTTTGTGGCTGAAGTGTGCTAACATCAAAATTTTAATCACATTTTTATTTGACATGTTTATTTGTGTTAAGTGTTATATTATTTTTTTATGAGCTCAGAATTGCAGACACTCAAGGAATCTGCTGGATTCCGTTTCTTGCTGGAATAAACAAAAGGCTGTTGACTTAGCACCAAGGTGGAGTGAGATCTCATGTGACCTCCCCTGCCCCCAGTCTGTGGCCCCTGCAATTTCCCATAATTTGGGCTGCAGCCACTAGAGACTGGGCTCTTTGCACCCACATCACCTCCCAAAGCCCAAAGCCTCATTATTTCAATCTTTGTAGATTTCAAAGGGACTCAAGTTGCATACATAGTTACTTTTTAGCCAATTGCGTCTGTTTGTGGGACAGAGCAGTCTCGCTCCAAAGGAGCCCTGCTGCCCTAGATGAAGTCGGCTTTCAGCAGACCTTCCCACCCTGGTTTGGAAGGGACAGGTAGGTGTGGTTTGCTGATGGACTATGCAGGATTAGCAGACAACCCTGACTTCTTCCCATAGGTTCAAATTAGAATAAATGATACAGTCTTTCAGCCTCTTTTGTGTTTCCCTCTGGAATGTGTGTATGTGACTGGGATGCCCTTCATGGTTTGTTTTCTTCTTTCTAAGAGGAATTTGGACTCCCTCCAGGTGTGGTGCTACAGGATCAGCACTGGACTGTGAACCACAAGGTCAGCGTTTCAAACCCACCATGTGCTCCTATAGAGAGTTGCTATGAGTGGGAACTGACTTGATGGCACTTAACAAAAACAAGAGAAATTTAGAATTCCAGTGTGGCGCTGTGGGTTAATGTGCCAGACTGCAAAGTCAGAAACCCTATACAGGGTCACTCTGAATCAGAACCAACTCAACAGCACTTAACAACAACAATAACAAAATCATCAAGGGAGCCCTGGTGTGGCACTGTGGGATAATGCACTGGACCGAAAGGTTGGTTTGAACTGCAAGGTCAGCGGTTCAAGCTCACCAGCTGCTCCTCAGAAACCCTATAAAGGGTTACTCTGGGTTGAGACCGACTCAGTGGCACTTAACAACCACAACAACAACAGAATCATTGAGGAGTCCTGGCGTGGCGTTGTGGATAATGCACTTGAACTGCTGACCTTGCAAGTTTGAATTGCAAGGTCGGCAGTTCAAGTACACCAGCTGCTCCTTGGAAACACTGTACGGGGTTGCTATGGGTTGGAACTGATTCAACAGCACTTAACAGTTGAAACCATTTTGTTTTAGAGACATTTGCAGCACTCCTCTCCTGCAACTTGTAGGGGTCTCCCCAGCATCTGCAGGCTTTTGCAGAGTCCAGCGATTCATAAATGGTGTTCCCACCTGCAGTATCACCCAACACTGTTCTAGGCCCTGTGCACGCCCCTCTCTGGTGGACTTTATGACTTGAAGGTGCTTGGCACTTCAGGCTTGCTTGGGAGTCATCATCCAATGCCCTTCCCTTCACCTGTTTGTTGGGGAAAGGCTTTAAGACCATGAAGACTCCTGTGTTGGAGTTAGAGTGGTCTGCGCAACGAGTAGGATGTCAGGGTTCACTGCAGCCTGTTGTAAGGTGTGTTGACCTGTGTCGTCTTGGTGTTTCCTGTTCCCTGGGACCCCTGAGGCTGACCTGCACGCAGACAGATTTGCTTGTAACAGAAAGAGCCAGGTGACCTCATTGGGGCAGCGAGCACTTCTGAGTGGGAAAAAGACGACTAACTAGTGCCTGGGCGTGGGGTTGTGCCTGGGTAGAAAATCCTTATTGTCTGTGCAATTTAAAAGATGTTATGCCATTTTCAGTCTATACCACACAGTGTATCCCAGTATTCGGTTCAGAAAATATGATGCCCAAAGGCAGCAGAGATATTTAGCTGCACAGGAATCCTGTGGGGGCTGGGATGGGGTGAGCTAGGCAGGAAAAGGTGACTTTCCTAAGTTATTTGTGCCAGCCAAGGACCACACCATCCGGAACCAAGGTCATATCACATCAATGGTTCTGAAAGACTTCAGTCATAGTCTGCTGGGCAGGGACTAGGGAGAGATTTTTAAGTTCCCATTACGTAATATATTGACTGTTTTTCTTCATTGCTTACACCTTTCAGAGTGTTGTTGTTGAGTGCCATCCAGTCAGTTCTGACTCATAGCGACCCTATAGGGTTTCCAAGGAGCAGCTGGTGGGTTTGAACTGTTGACCTTGTGGTTCGCAGTCCAGTGCTGATCCTAGAGTGCCACACCAGGACTCCTCCTTCAGAGTGTAGGCCATGGGAATTTTGTGAAGGGGATGTTCAGATGTATTGGAATGGCATTGTTTTCCTATGCTATCCCATTTAAGCACATCTGTAAGGGAAGTAATATGCTTTTAGCTGAGGATACTGAGCTCAGAGAGGCCAAGTGTCTTACCATAGTTGCATAACCTCATGGAGAGAGCTGAGATGTGAGTCTGTTTCCACTTGCACAGTGAAGTCCTATTCCCTTCCTGCTCCCGTCCCCACCTGAGTCCATTGTTTGGACTGTCTGGAGCCCACTGTTTAGAGTGGGAGGGGGTACTTAAAATGGTCTTGTAGCCTCAGCCGGTAAAGTGAGGGTGAAACCACTCACAGCATCCAAACAACAGGCTTGTTTCGAGCCACGAGTCGGAGTTGCTCCTGGCCTTGGGCGGATGTTTGCATGTGCTATGTCTGGTTTGGGTTTCAGATTTATCTTTGCATTTTTATTTCAGGACATAACTTGGCAAGATGAGCACTCTGCCCCTTTCTCCTGGGAAACAAGGGTAAGTTGGATTATATTTAGATTTATTTGTACTTTTTAAAAATGATGGAGGGGTTATGTGTTTTCCTTTCCACATTTGATGGACTTAGAAGGCAGTTGTTCAGCCTTTGGGCTTGCCAGTTGGCATGCCCGTGTGTTAGGAGCTCGGATACTGCTGTGAGCAGTTTGGTGATGGAATGCAGAGTAGTAGCAGCGAGTGCTGTCAGCCAGCCCAGTGGCGCCCGGATGACTCTGACTAGGAATGCGGGCAAGCTCCATCTGGCGGGCCTCCTAGCCTGCACCGCCTCCCACCAGCACTGAGCATCTGGCCCCATAGCACAGAGCTCTGTGGTAATTAGGGATTGCAATCTAGTGATAGGGTGAGTCTCTCTTTTAGTTATGATGATGATGATGGTTTTTACAGGGTTGCATAGAGAGTCCTGGTAGGATAAGCACTTGGCCACATGGTCTATTTGAATTGCCAGGCCAGCGGTTCAAACTCACCAGCCGCTCCTCGGAAACCCTACACAGGGTTGGAACCGGCTCGATAGCACTTAGCGACAATATAGAGCATCAAGCTTGACTGATTTAACTTTAGTTCCCCCATGAGTTGCTCTAGTAGAATTGCATTTAGTAAGCAGCAGAATGACCAGCAGGCAGGCATCTATCATCCAAGGAAGAGGAATAAAAGGCCAGGTGTTTCCGGCAACTAATCAGTGTGGGACTGAGATAATGGAGGTGGCTGTGTAGGTAGCATGAGGCTTAAGTCAGGAGCCAGCTCAGGACCTCACCCACTCACCTCTAAGGTGTGTGCTTCTGGGGTTTTCATGTGTCCTTTTAGCTGCCAATTGGGGCCCTTGCCCCAGGTGGAGATGGCAGGGTGCTGCAAGCCGCTGGTAGGCCTGAGAGGAGGGTGAGTCAGGGTGGGGAAGCACTGAGGGAATACACCAGGGCTCTGAGGGTCCTCACATGGGGAACTGTACCTTCGAGGAAGTATTTCACAAGAACTGGGAAAGATGGGCACAGCTAACACACACCCTGGCTTCAGGATGTGGGTCTTCGCAGGAGGGTGTTAGCCTTGTGTTAGAGTAAAGAGGTGGTTTTAGGAGGATATCATGTTTGGTAAGGTGGAGGGTCAAGAAAAAGAAGAAGACCCCCCCAGTGAACTGGATTGGCAAATTGGCAGCATCGGTGGGTTCAAACGTAGCAATGATTGTGAGGTTAGCCCAGGATCAGCCAGTGTTTCATTCTGTTGTGCATAGGATCTCTATAAATCGGTACTGACTCAATGGCACCTAACAATATCTGCCTGTCATTTATGTTGGATCCTCAGTGCCCTAGAAATAAAGACACAGACATTTGAAGCCTGTGTGTCTTATTTTTCTTGCCATTGCAGATGGGTGGTCCAGGGCTGTGCCGAGGGCAGGGTGAGGGCTGGTACCTGACTGGAAGCTGACTCCCTCTGGGGGTTCTGGTCTTTGGGTGAAGGGCGGGCTGAGGTTGGGGCAGGAAGCAGAGGATGGCAGGGAGCAGCCTGCAATTACAGTAGCTCCGGATTCGGACCAGAATCCTGTGTCTGGCAGCACTACAGAGGAGACTGCGTGGGTAGAGAACACGTCAGTTCCCTGGCGACTCCTTTTATGTGTCTCCAGGAATGGATGACGATGACAGCGTTGATCTCATAGTGATGTCTGGCAGTCATCCGAGGGTAGTTCTGAAATCATAGAAATCTTTACTAAGCAAAATATCAAAAGTGAAGCAATTGTTTATTGAGATAACCTTCCATCTAGGCAAAGCCATTTGAACTGCAAGGTCGGCGGTTCAAGCTCACCAGCTGCTCCTTGGAAACCCTATACAGGTTGCATCGGGTTGGAATCGACTCAATGGCACTTAACAACAAGGCCTGTACTGTACCTTTCTGAAGGTTGTGTTTCCATCTCTAACTCTTCCGCCAAAGAATTCCACACTCTTCAATTTACACCACGTCACAACGGCAGTTTTGGCAGCCTCGGGTGACTCAAATCACGTTCCTTTTCAATGTTCTTTGAGTTTGGGGAACAAATAGAAGTCTGAAGGGACAAGATTAAGGGTGTAGGATGGATAAGGTCAGGTTTCCCAAGGAAATCTTGCTGCCATTGAAGAATGAGCAGGTACATTATCTTGATGGGGAAATAAAACAACTTTGCTAGCCCTTTTTCTCATGATTGAAGTTTCCTGATGTGATGGTGGTGGCTATGTGCTGTGGAGTCGGTTCCGACTCACAGTGACCCTGTATGGGGTTTCTGCAGCTGTAAATCTTTATGGGGAGTCCTGGTGTGGCACTCTGTGTTAATGTGCTGGACTGCAAAGTCAGTTTGAACTGAAAGGTCGGCAGTTCAAGCTCACCAGTCACTCCTTGGAAACCTTATTATTAAGTGTTGTTGATGATACTGAACAACAACAACAAATCTTTATGGCAGCAGAAAGCCTCATCTTTTTCCTGTGGGAAGTCTGATAGTTTTGAACTGCTGATCTTAAGGTTAGCTGCCCAACTCGTAACCACTACGCTACCAGAGCTCCTTAATTTCCTAATAAACCCCCATAATTTTCCCTTTAGAAAATCTACCAATCTTACACCATTGTAATCTCAGCATCCAGTTGCCATAAGCCCTCTGCGGACCCCTCTGCCTTGAACTAAACTGGCCTAGCAGATCCCCTGGGAAGCCACTCTTTTGATGGGACCCATTTTGGAAGGCACTCTAGAGAGACTAAGACCAGCATATTCCTGAGAGAATGTGTTTGCAGCCTTCCACACATATTGTTTGGAATAAACCTTTGCATGGATGGACCAAACCCTAGTAGGAATAGTTTTTGACTTACCCTCATATGTAAATAGGCATTCTTCACACAGGAGACCAATAGCTTGAGTTGGCTCCTACTCATAGCAACCCTGTATAGGGTTTCTGAGGAGAAGCTGGTGGGTTTGAACTGCTGGCCTTGTGGTTCACAGTCCAGTGCTAATCCTGCATGCCACACCAGGACTCCAGCTTGAGTGTTGTTGTTGTTAAGTGCCGTCAAGTCGCTTCCAACCACAGCAACCCTGGATAAGGTTTCTGAGGAGCAGCTGGTGAGCTTGAATGAGCTTGAACCACCGACTTTGCAGTTCAGCACATTAACCCACAGCGCCACACGAGCTTGAGTGTAGTGATCCCCCTGTGCAGGGGCCTGTGTTGAATGTCACAGTGGTGAGGATGCCTGGAAGTCAGAACAGTTAGGTGTCTCCAGACCTAAGTTCATAAGGTGCCCCGGGAGAATGCCGGCTCTCTAAAGAATTTACCTTGTTAAATGTTCCCGAATCAGCTATTTGTGGGATGGGACATCTATTATTAACTTGCTTCAAATGGCATTCTGAGACAAGGGCACCGTGACACCCAGGGTAACTGCTGATACAGGCACAGCTACGGGGTCTTTGACTGGACAAACAGAACGAATACAACCCTGCTTGCTTCTGCTTTAGCTGATGCTGTTTGTCTGCAGCCACCAGCTGGGTCCCTTCTGAAGCTCAGAAAATTGAGAATGCTAGCTGAAATCTTGTCAGTGGATGGTGCCCCTTTTAGCCCACATCCTAATTGGAGGAAAGCGTAGACTTTGTGGCTCAGAATTCTCAGTTCAATTCAATGTTTCGGGAGCACCTGCTTATTTTATAAACTGGTGGCTTTATACTGTGTGCCCTTACTTCTTCAGGTGTGAGCTCTGGAGGTCAGACTTGGTCTGGCTCAGCATTCGGACTTTTACAGGCAAAAGAGAACCCACGAGAGCAGGTAGTTGGTTTCTTCTCCCTTCCCTTGTCAGGGTTGAGGTTTTTTTTTTCCCCAACTTTTTATCGTGAATTGAGTGAAAGTTTACAGAGCAGATCATCAGTTTTATATTCAACACATTATATACTTTGCTTCATTACACAGTTGCAATCCCTCCAGTTAGACAGTTAACAGTATTTACCTTCTATTCACTTGACAACAACAACAACAACAACATTCACTTTATCTATTGCATTCCTCGTTGTGTCTCCTGTTACCTTCCTCTTTCCTCTGCTGATCTCCCTCTTGTTACATATTGCCTGCCCTGTCACCCATGTTAGCATGTATCTACTCTCTAGCCTGTGAATAATTTTTCCTCCTCACCCCCGTAACCATCATAGATTGTTTTTATCAAGCAAACCTTTTTTTTTCTTTTTAACTTGTACAACATTGATTTCATACACTCTGTGTCCTTTTGTGTTGACTAATTTCACTACAGCTTCTTCCCATAAGGTTTCTTTCTTTCTTTATTTTTGTTTTTAATGTTTTATTGTGAATTATGTGACAGTTTACATGGGAGAACATTAGTTTTACATTCATCCTATCGTATATCGTTTCATTGCCATGGTTACAATCCCCTCCATGTATCATCAACCATCCAAAGGGTATACACTACAAGCCTGTCCCCCGGTCGTCAGCACACAGCCCCTCTCCCTCTCTGGGTCTAAAATCCCCAGCTGCTCCATCTCTCTACCTCATCGTCTCTAGTTTTGTTTATGTTTTTAAGTTTTTATTGTGAATTGAGTGATAGTTCACATGGGAGAACATCGGCTTTACACCATCATTTCGCTGCAATGATTACAATCTCCTCTGTGCATCATCATTACACAGTATTTGCTTCCATTCGAGTTTTAAAGAGCCAGGTGGGAGGGGGCCGATCATCTTTAACTCATGGCAGCGTCAGTGTGGTGGGAGGGGAGAGGGCGCCACAGGCCCTCTTTGGATTCTTCCAAAGGGGGGAAATGCAGCAGTTGACATACTGTACCTATGGGAGGTGGGGACAGAATGCATTCCTGACATTCCCCCACCCAGTGGAGGAGGACCTGAGGATGCTAGGGCAGGCTCTTGGGGACCCAGACCAGCCTTACATTCCTCCCCTAGCAAAGTCTGGCTTTTTCTCTCTGTCTCCTTCACAGCCGGGCGTAGAATAGTATGTAACTGCTATTATATATATATATATATATAT